TTTCCCCTGCTTCTAGAGGGAAAAGAGACAACTCTACCTTTCTCTTCCTACTGGGATCTCCATGGAAATGTAATGTGCCTGAACTCTTAACTACATCCTTTTGGTATGTAAATATGTTATATGCTCCCTTTACTTGTATTACCTACAGAGTTCTGGGCTGTTCTTCCTTTTTTGGATATAAATACCTAGAGAGATTATACTTCATTTTTCCTGACAACCTGGGACTTAACCTAAGGACCCAAGCTTTTATCTACTCACCTTCTCAGGGAACTAAAGGAAATTTTAGTACCCTTTAAGATCTGACCCATTAAACAGACAAATGACCACAGATCTATTCTCATGTCACACGGACAATCTCAGGAGGCTTTTTAAAGGAACACTTGGAGGTTTTTCCTCAGTGGCTGATTTTATTCTTCATCCACAATTTTTTTTTTCATTATGTCATTTTACTTTAATTCCAGCCTCCTTTCTGATTGCGCAGTGCTATTGGCTCCTTGGAAACTGACTTCTGTTGTATTCTTAAATTTATTGCTAGAGGCCTCATCTAAGGGCTTTAACTTTTTTTTTTCTAACTCATACAATGATTTTACAATCATATAACTTCCTAAACCAAATTCTGACTAAAAAACCTAGCGTGATTTTAGGTTTTTCATTGACTTGAATATTGTTGAGTGGAAATATTTGATTGTTTAAGAGTCATGATTTCTTTTTCTGTTTCTTTCTCTTCCCATCTCATTGGATTATGGTTGTCTTTGATAGCTAAAATTTTTTAAAACTCGCTTTTTCATATCTTTTATTATATATTTAAATTTATTTTAACTAACATATAAAAACAGAAAATCTATACAAATTTATAGGAAACTTTATGATATTTCAGTACATGTATACATTGTATAATGTTTAAATTGGGGCAAATACATCTATTTTCTCAAAGTTCTATTATTTCTTTATGGTGAAACTTTCAAACTTTTTTTGTCTGGCTTTTTGAAATATATAGTGGATTATCATTTTCTCTAGTCACCCACTGTGCAATAGCACATAGGAAATTCTTACTCCTAGCTATAACTTGGTACCCATTGATCAGAGTTATATTAAATACAAAAAAAAAAAAAAAACCTGGAAGACCAGGACAGGATTTGAAGAAGAAAGAACATGGAACTCTACCATCAAAACACTTCATATAAGCTCTATGTTAAATGGATACAGAACAAGGAGACCTAACAATTTTATTATAACTCATCCTTCTGTTTCAGTTGGAAAGAGGGCAAAATATAAAGAAGACGACTTTATCAATTAATGGTTTATATTACACTTTAGCATTCTGATTCACATTCATTTAATTATAGTATGTCACAAAGAGACAAGGAAGTAGGAGCCTCCTCACAGATGCTTCTGCATATAATTCCAAATACAAATTATATTTTGAATGTTTTTTTCTAAAATTGCAATTGAGTCATTTTGATACTTGTAATTTTTCTTTCCTCTCTGTCCTTTATTTTTTTAAGCAAAGTATTCCTTTCTTTACTTAATTTTCTAAGTATAAAAAATAGAGTAAAATATTAGGTCAATATAAGGTGTTTTGTAAACAAAAGCCATTTTAAAAATCAACTATAGTGTTACAGCCATCAGAAAACTATTCTGAATCATTAGAAAGCATTGAATTCCTTTTACTGTTTTTCCTTTTTACCTTTTTATGCATACATACACAGTCATGCAAAATTAGGTCATAAAATCTAATTTGTATACTGAACTTTTACTTTATATTATGTTAATTTTCTCATGTCATCTCCTTCAAACATATGTTTTCTAATGGCTAAATAATATTCAAATTTGTATAATAAACATTATCAATTTCACAGTTCTCTCAGGGAAGAATATTTAAGCTCTTATTTTTTCCCCATAAAAACAGTACAGCAGATTTTATAGTATATAAAATTCTGATCTTATCTCCAAACGTTCCCTTGTGATAATTTTCCAAGTTGAATTACCAAGTTAAAATGTATAAATTTTAAAATGTTTAATTTAGATTGCTAAATTTTCTTCAGAAAATGTCATAATATTTTACATACATTCCTAACAAAAAATAGTGAAGTAAAAAAGCACACATTTTATCAAATCCTACCGAGAAATAGGTATCATAGTTCTTTGTAAATGTTGCAATTTTATATGCAAAAATGCTGTTGTGTTGTTTTTTTCATATTTTCTTGATTTTTAGTGTACTTAAATTTTATGCATTTAAAATTTTCCTCTCATATTTATCTATTTAAATTTTATATCCATATGAGTGAGATCACTTGCTTCTTATCTTTCTGTGTCTTCTTTCACTTAATATAATAACTTGAACATTACACAATGTGTACATGCATCAAAATATCATATGGTACTTCATAAATGTGTATAATTTTTATGTATCCGTTTACAAAATTAAAAAATAAAAAATCATGTGCCCATTTTAATTGAAATTTTTCCCGATCTTTTAAAATAGCACACTTTATATAATCAGGTCATTTAAATTGACACTTTTACTTATATAAAATTTTTTTCTCCTGGTTTCTTCTTTAATTTTATTACTTATAATCACTGATGACATATAGAGTATTTCAATTTTTATTATACATGCCTATTAATTTTCTTTATAGTTTCTATACATACTTTAATAATAACATGTTTTAAAACTGAATATGGGATAAATATTGCTTGCAAATTCAGTATCTTGTTTAAAAACTTTAAATCTGATATTTATTTTATTTTATGTTGACAAGTGAACAAAGGACTCACTCCAAGTGTTGTGTTTTGAATATTTTTTGATTGGTCAAGACTTTGAAATTTTAACTATTTTAAATTTAGATTCTTGTATATTTTCCTGTTTACCTATGATTCTATTGATATCTCACCATTTTAAATTTCATCCTTCATGTTTTGAATGCCTATCTCAACAAATTTTTCTTATTTCTCTTTTTTTTATCTTATTATTTTGGTTTTATCAAACACATATTCTATGAGGAAAGATTTAAATTTGGTAGAATTTAAGAATTAGCATTATAATCAGGTACAAAGAATAACTTGATAAATTATTGATTAATTAACTAATTTTGTGTATGTTAACAGAGGCAAGATGCATTAAAATCAGAATTTAATATTGTATCAATTACTAATTTTATAAATGAACACTATACATCCAATAATGTGGTTTTCTTGTTGTACTGAAAATGATTTCATTATTCTATTCCCACCCCACCTCTTTTTTTCCTATTAATATGTGAGCTGTATTGCTGAACCAACAATCTCATGTTGCTCTGTGGGCAGGAACAAATTTGGGGCATTTATTTAAAGAAAGAAGGCCAATACTACTAGAATGTAATTAGAATGGAATTATGTAACTACAATGGAATTATGGAGCAAATATAATCTAAGAAAAAGTAAAACAGAATGAGGAAATTAGAATATCTATGCCATAGTATGAAGGATGGATAAGGAAAACCTTGGAGGAGAAATAGTATTTTAAGGTAAGTGTAGTATTAAAATCAGGAAAGGGTATTTTTTTTGCAAGTGAATCATGTAGTTACAAAAATAATCTGTATGTCATCATTTATCAGGTCTATCTTTTGCAAATATTTTCCCTATCTATGGCTTTTATTGTTTCTTTTTCATTTGTTTAGCAGTTTCTTTAGCAGAGAACATGTTTTTAATTTGAATAAAATTCAACTTGCCAATTTTTTCTTAATAGATTTTAGTTTTGGAGATTGTATCTAAAAACTCATCATCAGATCTAGTTACCTAGATTTTCTTCAGTGTTATCTCCAAGTAGTTTTATAATTTTTGTACTTTACATTAGAGTGTGTGAATCCACTGTGAGTTAATTTTTGTGAAAAGTATAAGGTTACTTTCTGGATTTATTCTTTTTGTTGTGGATTCATGTTTTTTTTTATTCATCATGTGATGAAAGATTATATTTTCTTTATTAAATCGCCTTTGTGTCTTTGTCAAATATTAGTTAACTATATTTTGTGTCTCTGTCTCTTTTCTTTTTCACTCATTTATGTGTTGTTTTTCCCATCTCTGGCTATTTAAAATTTTTGCCTTTGGTTTTCTGCAAATGATGATATATCCAGATATGCATCTTTAGGGTATATAGGTCTGTAGTTTATTTGGAATTAATTTTGGAAAAGTTCCTGACATTATTTCCTCAATATATCTTTTACTTATTATACTACTTCATCTTCTGGTTCTTATTATGTATATGTATGTCACAACTTTTGTTCTTGTCCCATTATTCTTGGATATTCTATTCCGAAGTTTTATATTTAAGCTCACTGATTCTTCAGCTGTGTGTAGACTGCTAATGTACCATTTGGACATTCTTCTTTTTTTTTTTTTTTCCTCATTTTTTACTTTTTTTTCTTTAATTCTGTTTTTGTTTGTTTGTTTGTTTTGTTTTGTTTTGTTTTTACCAAGGATTTAACCTAGGGGCACTTAACCACTGAGCCACATTCACAGGCCTTTTAATATTTTATTTTTAGACATGGTTTCTCTAAGTTGCTTAGGGCCTCTCTAAGTTGCTTAGGGCCTCTCTAAGTTACTGAGGCTGGCTTTGAACTTGCAATCCCCCTGAGTCAACCCCCTGAGCTGCTGGAATTACAGGCATGTGTGCCACATGTCCAGCTTCTTTGATTCTTTCTTACGCTTCCATCTCTCTGCTTTCATTATCTGTGTGCTCTTTAATATTGTCCACTTTTCCCATTAGCACCCTTATCATATTATTTATAGTTATTTTAAATTCCCAGTCTGATTATTCTGAAATGTATGCTTTGATTCTGGTTCTGATGCTTATTTTGTCTTTTCTTTTTTCTTGTCTTTCGGCATGAATGGTTATTTTTTGCTGAAAGCCAGACATACTGTATTGGATAAGAGGAACTGAATTAAAGATGAATCAAGTGTAAGGTTTTATGTTTATGTTGCTAGAATTGGGCTTTGCTTAATGTTTATTGGACCTATGAAGGTTAAAGTCTTCAATTTCCTTTATTGGATTTGTATGGGTTTCTCCTTTTGTCTTTGGATATCCCTGGAAACCTCCCTTGTTCCCCAGAATCTGTGTCTTCCAGCTCTCTCAGCTTTGACCTACTGTTACTTCCAATAGATTAGTTTGACTCTAGTAGCAGGCGAGCTTCTGTTTCCAATAAACGGTGGTATCTATCTGTCTTTATACTATAGAATAGCAGGAATTTTATGACAGATCTAAGAAGAATTGTTCTTTGGATTTGTTCACATTTATTCTTCTTGGGGGTGAGATTGATAGTGTCCAAGTTCTTCATATATTGGATTTAAAACAAATAGTCTCTACATTAAGAAAAAAAAATGGATCAGTCAGTATTGTATGTTCATAAAGACACTTAAAGGTGTTTAAAAAATAAACCATCTAAAATTAGAACAATATATTTCTGAACCAATATTTTTAATCTTAATTTTATCTGACTTTTCTGAAAACCAGCACTGAAAATTCCTAACAAGGTTTTTTTTTTTTCCAATTGTTATGTCTGGTGATTTTTCTCCTCTCTTTGAACAGATAATACTTACTTCATCATAACTTGTAAAGAAAGACCCCACATAGTTTTACAAATATATATGGAAGATATTATTATAATTTTGGTGCATTTGTTTTAATCATTTAAAATGTATATGATAGTTTAAATAGGGAATACTTATGATTTGTTGTGGTCTGAAGGTTTTCCCCAAATTCATGTGTCAAAATCTTAGTCCCAAATACAACAATGCTGGGAAATGAGCACTTTTGGGAAGTATTAAGGTCATGAGAGCTTCTCTATCAGGATTATATTATTTCCACTGTAAAAGGGGCTTGCAGGAGTGGGCTTCTTTTCCTGTGTGATGTGACAGTATAATGTTTTTTTTTTTTTTGTCACCAGAAAATGCAGTTTTCAAGGAAACACCTTGGACACAGAGCAGTTGAACTCTCTTAACTTACCTTGATCTTAGATATCCCAGCATCCAGAACTGTGAGAAATATTCTGTTCTTTGTAAGTTACCCAAACTGTGGTATTCTGTCATGGCAGCCTGTAGCATTCAGTTATAAAAAAAAAAAAATCAAGTAAGACAAAGTAATTCTTCCCATAGTGGAAACATTTTGAGATGTTATTATTAACAGAAATTTTTTATGAGACCCTAAAACATTAATGATAAACTTAAAAAGACAAACGGAATTATATCAAAATATGGAGCTCTCCATAGCAAAGGAATAAATCAACGGTGAATAGACAACCTGTAAAACAAGAAAGCATACTTGCTAATTATTTATCTAGCAGAGAATTAATATCCAGAATATTTAAGAACTCAAAGTACTCAACAACAAATAATTCTATTAAAATGAGCAAATAAATCTGGTTAGACATTTTTTAAAAAAATATTTACATATGGCAAAACTATATGATAAAATCCTGAACTTAATCAGTCATCAGAGAATGCAAACCAAACCATGAGATAGCCTCATACTCCAGTTAGAAAAGCTATAATTAAAAGACATAAAAAAAATAAGTGCTGACAATGATGTGGGGAAAGAGAAGTCACTATTGGTAGGTACATAAATTAGTATAGCAATTTATGGATTATAACATGATTTTTCCCCAAGAAACTAAAAAATATTAAAAATAGAACTACTAATAATTCACTTATTCCCTTCTGGGTATATGCTCATAGAATATGAAACAGTATATTGAAACAGAGGCACTCCCACCCTTATTCCAGCACTATTCACTGTAGCCAAGATAGGAAATCAAACCTGGTATTTATTAATAGATAAATCAATAAAGAAAATGTAGCATATATAATTCCATATATATATATATATATATATATGTTATATTCCATATAACAATGGAATATTTCTCAAACATAATAAAATAATGTAATCCTGTCAGTTTTGGGAGGATAGAATAGGACTGGAGAGGACTGAAGGACATTATGATAAGTGAAACAAGGTAGGCACAAAAAGACAAATATTATACTTTTCCTTATAAATATATAGAAGCTAAAAAAGTTGATTTTATGTAACTAAAAGTGGTCTCTGGAGCTTAGGAATGGGAATAGAGTTCAGGAGGAGAATAGAGGCGGGTTGATTAATAGTTTCCAAAATACTATTAGGTAGGATAAATAAATCTGAGGTTCTGGAATACAGTAGAATTATTATAGTATACAGCAATTTATTGTACAGCTAATAAAGAACTAGAAGACACTAGTTTGAAAATTCTCAAATAAATCATAAATTTTTGAAGAGATCAAAGTGGTAATTACTTTGATTCAACCATTACATCTGGCATATATGTTTTGAATTAATATACCATATACTATACATATGTGTGATTTTAAAAATTAAGAACATAAGTATGATTTTTTTCAGAGAACCTTTTTTCTCTTAGACAAGACATTCAAATTTGCTTTGCTTTGCACAGTCAAGCAATAAACTATTAGCCAAGTTTTTATTTTTAATTCTATAAACATGTTTTGTTGATTTGTAACACCTTTCTCTGAAATTTTTGGCATCTAAGTATTGCTCTATGAATAATATAAAGAATTTCTAAAAAACCAAATGTTCTTTTATTTCCTTTTTTTCTTAACAGCACCTACAACCAAATGTTGGTAAACATGTATAAATGGTGTTTTATTGTACCTTCAACAGTATTGAAATAAATACCTTTTTGTACAATGTGTTATTTCAATATTTTGCATATTACAAACCATTTTTATTGATTTCTGTTAAGTGTTATGTGATGTGTAATAGTTTTTCATACCTCATGAACCTTACCTAAGTGAATAGTAAGCTTTATCATTTATTGATTCAAAGTTTTTTATCCATTCCATAAATATGCAACAAATGTTGGAATCTAGCTAACGCTAAAGCAAGTAATAAAAGATGTGCAATTCCACCCTTATTAAGCTTACTTTCCAGGAGAATAGATAAGTAAATAAATTATTTATTGCACTTGAGGGACTGTATCCTATAGAAATAAATGAAGAGAAAGACAGAAGATGTAGAGAGCTGAGTTTAAATAAGATTTCAAGTTAGAAATCACAGGGATAATGACTATCTATGACTTGAAAGGCATGTGGGAGGGAATTATATGCATATTTAGGGAAGGACAGCTCTGACAGAGAAAAAGTAAACCCATAAAATTCAAGGTGATAGTGACTGATGGTATTCAAATTCAGCAAGGTGAATAATGAGTCTGACTGCCCACTAGAAGATGTTGGAGATACTCGCTGAGGTCCAAGGTAAAGATCCCATGCTTGTTTGGCTTCTACTGAGTGAGATGGAGAGGGTTTTGAGAAGAAGTAGCATGATCTGGGCAGTGGTTTAAAGATAGTCTAATTACCTTATTAACAACAACAACAAAAAAATACAGTGTGGGAAGGGTCAAGGGTAGCAATAGAAGTACTAATTGCAAAGCTTTTAACATCATCCAGAGAAGAGTTTCAGGTAACTTAGACCAATGTGGTAGAAATGGAGTAAGAAGTAGGCAGATTCTGTATGTAAGGTGAGACTGCACGGTTTTCCGATTTTTAGATGTGAACAAAATAGAAGAATCGTGGTTATCTTATATCTTTAGTCTGAATGACCAAAAGGTTAAAATTGTAATTGAATAAAGCAGGAAATTAACTGTTGAAGTGTGTGTGTGTGTGTGTGTGTGTGTGTGTGTGTGCGCGCGCGTGCGCGCGTGCATGCATGTGCATGCACCTCTTTGTATTTAACAGGAGTTTATTTGACAGATAAAAATTAATTCTTAGAAAAAGAATCTGCATGGAATTTTTGAGTATACAATTAGATATACACTTTGAGCTTACGAAGAGTAAGCTGAAAATATAGTTTATGGCCATACCACCCTGATTGCCCCTGATCTTGTCTGAAAATATAAACTTAGGAATCACACACATTGATTAGATTTTAAAACCTGGGGTCACATAAAAATAACAAAGAAAGGGGCTGAGGATATAGTTCAATTGGTAGAGTACTTGCCTTGCATGCACAAGGCCCTAGGTTCAATCTCCAGTACCATAAATAAATAAATAAATAAATAATACGTTGGAATGCTGAGAAAATTTAAAAAAAAATACCAAAGAAATAATTTTATATAGAAAAAAGAAAAATGGAGAAAGAATAGGTTTCATGGCAGCCCAAAACCACAAGCAACAATTTGAGGGATTTTTTTTTTTTCTGTAGAAAGGAGGAGAGAAATATAGCAAAAGCTGTATGGTAAAGGATATTAACAGATTTCTTTTTTTAAAAAAAAACAAGATGTATGTAATAACAATTTGCAAATGGAATCTCATCTTTTCCTATGTGCAAGGGAAAATTTTCTTGACTGTGTTTAATTTTACAGCTGATTTTCAACAATCTTCTACCACATGATTAATTTTAGAAATACTACTATTGCCTATGGAAGCTTCATTTAGACATTAAAAAAGCTCTTGGAGCTCATAACCTCTGTGTGGATGGCTTTATTAGTTTTTGTATAGTAATATGTGGCTTCTCATATTTTAAGTGATTTGTGCTATAAAATAAACCAAAAATGAAGGGCTTTACATTCTAATTATAGGGTATTTTAAGCATTATATTGACAATATTATAGGCTTAAAATTTATGAAATATGGTATAAATTTTCAAAAATATTTTTATTAACTTGCTTCTTAATACTTATATTGTTATTGAGTTATTGTCATTGAATCAATAGAAAACAACAAAACAAAACAAAATCATATTGGTATAATAGCTGGTATAATGGTAACTGTTAACTTGTTAACAATGTTATGCAACTCATTATCGATGTTCAACTATGTGTTGTTAATGCCTTTCAATGTGTTTTACCTTTTGAAATAAGCACCAAAGTAGAATATTGAGATGTACATGGAATTATTGTAAATGTAATAGATACAAAAGCAGATTTATAGAGATGCATTGTATTATTGACTCAAATATTACTAATGTCAGGAAATTTTTTTCTAAAATAGTAATTCTTGACTTATTTTGAATAAAACAAAGTAAATCATCTCTTGATTTATAAATAAAGTTAAGTGATATTAAAATAGTGTATAATATTCTGTATAGTAAAACTATGCAAAAACTTCACACTGTAGGTAGAATACACATAATCTTTATTTTCAGATAAATTAATCTACAGAATTCAAACTATGTTAACTTATTAAAGGATATTTCTTTCTGTCTAGAACTGATCTCTGTGTGGTAGAATATCTAACACTGTTGAATATTATTCACTAAACTTCACTAATGATCTCCAATCCTTGTGTTACCTTCCTTTCCAAATTCCGCAAATTTCTCTTCAGTGTGAACTTTCCAGATCAAAACCACTGACTGATTCTTTGTCTCCTAACAATCTGAACAAAATCCTAAATAATCAGAAGGTAACTTTCATTATATTGATAATCTGCCTAAACTATGCAAACAGGATCCCATTATTCTTAAGAAGCAACTCTTCAAAACTGTGAACTGGTCTGAACTCATCAACTCCTGAATTTTTCCTGTTTGCTTCCCCCCACCCCCACTGTATTTGCTTATTTGTAAATCTCCTATGGACAAGCAGAAGTCCAAGTGGCCTTACCATGTGCTTTTTTTTTTTTTTCTGCTTGAAATTATTCTGGCTCTTTTTTTCATATAGTAAATCCTTATTCTTCTTTTGATTCTTTATCTTTTTCTCTGGAAAGTCTTTTCTGAACGTAGTGATTTTTGGTAATCTACTTTATATTCTGTTAATTTCATGATCCTCTTCTTCATAAGACCATTTTCTTGTATCTTTATTTGATTATTCTATTTCACAACAAGTTCTGAGTTTTGTTTATCCTGCTCTTGCATGGTATCTAATCCTTCTAGTTGTTAATAAATATATGTTGAACAGCTGGGTGCAGTGGCAAGTGCCTGTAATCCCAGCAGCTCTGAGAGGAGGCTGAGACAGGAGGATGGTGAATTCAAAGCCAGCCTCACGAATGACGAGCTGGAGGTGCTTAGCAATCATTGAGACCCTGTCTGTAAATAAAATACAAAATAGGGC